TACGAAACTCTGCCATGATCTGACGCCCAAAACACAAACCATGCGGTTCACAACTACTGCAGCAAGTACATACAGTGGGGATATGTTACAGCGTGGATTTGCCAGAGATTTTGTCCGCTTTCCGTCAGTTAGTGCTACTTGAAGACTCTCTTGCTTCCTATAAATGACCTGGTTGCATACAACTAGACAACTGCAACGCGTGAAGTCAGATGTGAGTTTTCGTTGTTGACTCACCAAGGCAAACATCGAAATGGGGTTTATCCAATTCCCTAGTATTAAAAATAAGAATAAAAATAAAATATTCACTGGTTTGAGGGAAAGACACAAACGGGAAAAATCTGAAGAAAAAATGACTGTCACAAAAAAATCTACTTACTCGTTTGTCGGGCCAAATAAAAAAAATAAAAAAAATCATGTTACAGGGCGGTGCACAACCATCAAGCAAGTTCATATTCTGATGACGCTCATTTCGTGGACGCCCCCGTGGCGCAATGGATTAGCGCATTGGACTTCTAATCGGGCTAGCTGCTTGACGGCATTCAAAGGTTGTGGGTTCGAATCCCACCGGGGGTGCGTTTTTTTATATATTTTTTGATGCTCAGCATTTCACGTTGTCCTCCAGTTGAGCTCCATACCCTTTCCCTGGCTGTAGAATCAAGGTGGGGCGCTCTCGCGGTACTTTACGGTACTTGTTGTATTTGCAAACAACTAGAATACGAAACTCTGCCATGATCTGACGCCCAAAACACAAACCATGCGGTTCACAACTACTGCAGCAAGTACATACAGTGGGGATATGTTACAGCGTGGATTTGCCAGAGATTTTGTCCGCTTTCCGTCAGTTAGTGCTACTTGAAGACTCTCTTGCTTCCTATAAATGACCTGGTTGCATACAACTAGACAACTGCAACGCGTGAAGTCAGATGTGAGTTTTCGTTGTTGACTCACCAAGGCAAACATCGAAATGGGGTTTATCCAATTCCCTAGTATTAAAAATAAGAATAAAAATAAATATTCACTGGTTTGAGGGAAAGACACAAACGGGAAAAATCTGAAGAAAAAAATTGACTGTCACAAAAAAATCTACTTACTCGTTTGTCGGGCCAAATAAAAAAAATAAAAAAATCATGTTACAGGGCGGGGCACAACCATCAAGCAAGTTCATATTCTGATGACGCTCATTTCGTGGACGCCCTCGTGGCGCAATGGATTAGCGCATTGGACTTCTAATCGGGCTAGCTGCTTGACGGCATTCAAAGGTTGTGGGTTCGAATCCCACCGGGGGTGCGTTTTTTAATATATTTTTTGATGCTCAGCATTTCACGTTGTCCTCCAGTTGAGCTCCATACGATTGTCCTTTCCCTGGCTGTAGAATCAAGGTGGGGCGCTCTCGCGGTACTCTACGGTACTTGTTGTATTTGCAAACAACTAGAATGCGAAACTCTGCCATGATCTGACGCCCAAAACACAAACCATGCGGTTCACAACTACTGCAGCTACATACAGTGGGGATACGTTACAGCGTGGATTTGCCAGAGATTTTGTCCGCTTTCCGTCAGTTAGTGCTACTTGAAGACTCTCTTGCTTCCTATAAATGACCTGGTTGCATACAACTAGACAACTGCAACGCGTGAAGTCAGATGTGAGTTTTTGTTGTCGACTCGCCAAGGCAAGCATCGAAATGGGGTTTATCCAATTCCCTAGTATTAAAAATAAGAATAAAAATAAAATATTCACTGGTTTGAGGGAAAGACACAAACGGGAAAAGTCTGAAGAAAAAATGACTGTCACTAAAAAAATCTACTTGCTCATTTGTCGGGCCAAATAAAAAAAATAAAGAATCATGTTACAGGGCGGTGCACAACCATCAAGCAAGTTCACATCCTGATGACGTGACGCTCATTTCATGGACGCCCCCGTGGCGCAATGGATTAGCGCATTGGACTTCTAATCGGGCTAGCTGCTTGACGGCATTCAAAGGTTGTGGGTTCGAATCCCACCGGGGGTGCTTTTTCTTTTTTTCTTTTTTTCTGCTCAGCATTCCACCTTGTACTCCGTTTGTCTTGAGCGGACGCACGCTCCACACAAAAACACGCTTAAAGTGCTCTCACACCAACGAACCTAGTTGCTCTCTGCCATACGATTGTCCTTTCACTGGCTGTAAAATCAAGGGGCTGGGTGCATACAACAAGACAACTGCAACGCGTGGAGTCAGATGTGAGTTTTTGTTGTCGACTCACCAAGGCAAACATCGAATGGGAAAAAAAGTAAAATAAGAATAAAAATAAAATATTCACTGGTTTGAGGGAAAGACACAAACGGGAAAAGTCTGAAGGAAAAAATTGACTGTCACTAAAAAAATCTACTCGTTTGTCGGGCCAAATAAAAAAAATTAAAAAAATGTTACGGGGCGGTACGTGTGCACAACCATCAAGCAAGTTCACATCCTGATGGCACTCATTTCGTGGACGCCCCCGTGGCGCAATGGATTAGCGCATTGGACTTCTAATCGGGCTAGCTGCTTGACGGCATTCAAAGGTTGTGGGTTCGAATCCCACCGGGGGTGCGCTTTTTTTCTTTTCTTTTCTTTTTTTATCTTTTCTGGAATTGGTTTTGCTAGATTTTGATACATGACGCTCAGGGCGCGTTCGGTTGGTACGAACTAGAACAGGATTCACCAGAACAGCGCGTTTGGTTGGGACTGCACCTGTTCTTGGTCGGCCTCGAGGCCGGAGCAGACCGAGCAGTTTCACTTTTTCACAGTGAAACCTGGCGGGAACATCGATTTTGGTCCCAAATGATCACGTGCATACGCTTTTGGGTTGGACTCGTCATACCGTACACAGTGACCATGGTGACCCATACACACATTTTGAAGAATGCACCAAGTTTGGCATATTTTCACAAAAAATATGCTCTGTTTCTGGAGTACCTTTTGGTTGGCATGAGGCTGCTCCATGTGCACCAGCTGTTCGATCCTGTTCTAGATCGTACCAACCAAACACACCCTCAGTGTGTGCAGCTTCTGTATGTTCGGTTGTCTTGTCGTCAGAATTCCTAGATTTCATCAAAGTTGATAAGAATAAGGGGCAAGAAGTGGCATAGTGCATGCAGCAGCTAAGTTGCAGTTGTGCAGCAGGAGTGGATTGTACGCACTGAAATTATGTTTTCCAGTCGCTTTACCTTGGCAGCAATCCGTTCCAGCTGCACCCTCTGGTTTTCGTGTACTCTTGCTTTTGCCACGTCGTCTTTCTGCCCCTGGTCAAATGTGTAGTAGCTGATGCAGCTGGTCAGACTTGATCCGGAAGGCACAGTGAGATAGCAATCCCCCCCCCCCCCCCCCCCACACACACCCTGCTCGTTTGTGTACATATGAGTGAATTCAACTCCGTGTTTGCAGAATTCCTCAGGCACCCTGTGAGTTGAATAGTCAGCTATGTTCCCGAGTTAAATACAACAACAACAACATATCTCTTATTGGCTACTGGCTACCACGAGAATAAATATTTTGAAACGACGACGATGACAACAACAACAACAACAACAACAACAGCAACAGCAGCAACAACAACAAAAACTACAACAACAACAACAACAGCAACTACAACAACAACAACAACAACAACAACAACAACAACAACAACAACAACAACAACAACAACAACAACAACAACAACAGCAGCAGCAGCAGCAACAACAACAACAACAACAGCAGCAGCAGCAGCAACAACAACAGCAACAACAACAACAGCAGCAGCAGCAGCAACAACAACAACAACAGCAGCATCAGCAATAACAACAACAACAACAACAACAACAACAACAACAACAACAACAACAACAACAACAACAACAACAGCAGCAGCAGCAGCAACAGCAGCAGCAGCAGCAACAACAACAACAACAACAACAACAACAACAACAACAACAACAACAACAACAGCAGCAACAACGTGAGAAAAAAGATTTAGAACTACTAAATCACTACAATAGCAGCAACACTGACTTGAACAAGCACATTTGGATGCTTACAAAGTGATGAACGATGCTAGATAGAAGTACTGTCGGGCGCTGAAGAATGGAGCGCCGAAGAACGACCAGCCTAGAATTTCACCAAGCACAGCATACCAATGTATACACGGTGACTCAACAGTGCATAGACTGGAAGACATGAAAATAAGAACGGTCTGGGCTAGGAGGCTGACTCCCCAGTTCTTCGGCGACCAACAGTGTTATACGAGCTCGTACTTGCACTGTATTGGCTAGTCCACCAACAGTGTTATACGAGCTCGTACTTGCACTGTATTGGTTAGTCCAGGTGTACAGTGGAGGTGATGGGAAATGTATGTAGTAGCATTTTGAAACACTTTGCTAGCATATGTACTGCTATAGTAAAGTAGCCGTGTGAAGTGGCACGAGGTCATGGAATTGTTGTGTGTGATGCAGCCCAAGCGAGGCACGGTGACCAAAATGAACCCGTTACCTCTACAATTTGTAGTATCAACTGTAGCTGTGCGATTTTCGATGTTTGATACGGGCTAAGAGATCAGGAGATTCGTGTCTGCCCCCGTGGCGCAATGGATTAGCGCATTGGACTTCTAATCGGGCTAGCTGCTTGACGGCATTCAAAGGTTGTGGGTTCGAATCCCACCGGGGGTGCGCTTCTTTTTTTTTCTTTTTCTTTTTTCCTCTCTTTGGTGACTGAGGACTTATTTGCATGCAGGATTTGTTCTGGGCTCGCAAGAAACTGGAGTAGAATCGATGACCAACCTGATGGTTTCTTCTGGTTGTACATTTGCCCTCGTTGAAATCCGACCCAAAGTGCATATGTGGTGCCCTCAACTTGCACGGCCCTTGACACCCTGGAAGTGGCAGGAATGCGGCTGGACGTACACATGTACAAGTACAGCCATGCAATCGGAACTGGTCCGGGAGCCAGTTTTGTATTTTGGGTCTGATTTCGCTGAGCACACCTGTATGTGTGGACATCATCACCACAGGTACACACCGGAGCAGCTGCGCTGTATGCCACTGAAGACGATGACTGTCGTACCACCGCCCACACCCGTGGAGTCCGTTCTTCCGCCGGGTAACCCTACGCGAGGCGATGCTGCTGCTGGCGCCGGTGCATCATCGTCTTCTTCATCGCAAGCGTCGCTGCCTCCTCCTATGGCAGCCAGTTCTCGGGCACTCTCCAGGGAGAACAGTGCTGTTCCTTTGTCATCGGTGAGTCCAATTACATGTACACTAAACCAGCATGTCAGCATTGTAGCGTCGTTGCAAAATTCCAATGACCAATTTCACAGTGATCTAATTATTTCGCTCGGTGATTTCTGCAATTTGTGTTTGGTTGCACTGCACCATAGTGGATTGTCAAAAGCGATAGCAGAGCATTTTGTTTGAATGGTTTGTTGGTATGTGTGTGGTGATGAGCAAGGTCTCACTGGACAGGGTCTGGTTGTTTTGGAAGTTTACGAGTACATTGCCGTATGCTTATAGCTGTACGGGGGGGGGGGGGGGGGGGGGGGGACTACATGACTGTACTGCTATTGACTGTACAAGAGTACATGTACGAGTACTGCTATTGACTTGTGCTGTGGAAGTTTCTGCCGCTACCTTCGGAGAGCCGCAAGCGCTGTGATCTGAATTGTCCGCTAGGCACTCAGTAAGCCTGCCTGCAAGTGTACAGTTAGCCTTGTGAGTGACAAGTAACAACCTCGCCTATATGTTAAACAACAGCTCACGAATAACAGTTAGCAACAGTACATTCAAACATAGTCACCATACGCTTTCTCAACTTCGCAAATAGTTAAAAAAATCGCAAATATCAGCACGTTTCTCGTGCCCGGTTGAGGTCATTATTCCCGAGGCTGACTGTATTTTTTCTTGTAATTCCCTTTCACTGTAAACAGACTGGTTTAGCCAGCTCGTCTTCAGCAGCAGCGACACCAGCAACAAATCAGCCGGCAAGTTCTCGATCTCACCAGCGATCTCACACCCAGGCGAAGGTGAGCAAGTATTGAAATCTGAACGCTCGGTTTGTCTGAATATCGCAGTGACCAGCTGCTTTCCATCACGCAACAGTGACTAGAGCGAGGTTTGATAGCTCTCATGAGCAAGTTGCACGACCAATGGGTCTAGGCAATGCTGCCAGTGCAGGGTCACCTTGTGAAGTTTGAACTTGTGCAAGCACCATGCCTTCGGAGGTATAGGTCGCACCCATATTGTAATAATAATAATTATTATGTTTGTTTCCTTGGCTCTCTTCTGAATCCCATTTGACACAGCAGCGCAGCCTCAAGCACGACACGCTGTGCAGCCTATGTTTGCACGGGCACGAGGAGAATCGGAAGGGAGAGGCAGAGGCGCTGATCAGCTGCTCGACATGTCCCAACATCGGTATGTAACAGGCTCATACACCCAGTCATGTGGGAAGCCAAAATAGCGTGTCAACTACTGTCGTAGACATGGAAATCCGGCCGAATAACGCGGGGCCGGCGCCCTCAGTGCATGCAGAACGTTGTATGCAGTGTCCGTGTTGATCGTATGCATACTCACGACTGCATGGCCAGCGCCCTGGGCTGCTTGACCTCCGACCGGATTTCCATGTCCACGACAGTAGCTGCTGCCTGGTGATAGGAGTATGGCAGGCAATGTGTTTGTCGGCAAGAGTACACAAACTCCCAAGAGTGTGGAGCAACTGCCGCTGAGTAGCTGTCGTGACTTGCTTTCGGAACGTCATCATATTAAAAAATGGTGTAGCCAGCTGTCTATGCATGGTTCCGAGATGCCAAGTTGACCGTGCACTGTATAGCGAGGTGTATAGCGAGGTGCATTGTATCAGGGAAAGTGATGTAATCCTGAAAACAAGTCGTGATGGCGTTCATGTGGAGATCCACTGTCTGGGGAGTTCTGTGCTCCTGTTATCAGGCTTAGCTCGACTGTATTGTTACCAGATCAAGGGGTACTGTAATTTCACAAATTCTCGGTGTACTTGTATTTTCGGTACTTTCGGTACGTCTGTTTCATACCTAAAATTTCAATACGCCGAACAAACACTAACGCACATAATCCAATAGGGAACTGCTGCTCTGTACCTAAAATTTCTGTTCACCTAACCTGGCCTTTTGACCCCATACCGAAAATATTGAGCACCTAAAATTTCTGAAATTAGAGTAAGCAGCAGCATTCGGCCCTGTACAGACTTTTCATCAACCGCCACACCCTAGACAGCTGTATGAAGGAATTCAGTACCAGCGGTTGTGTCGTTTTGCTGGCGGTGGTGTGCTGTGGCAACGTCGTGCCGGGGTCGGCTGGAGAGCACGGTTATGGTGTTGTGGTTGATGAAAAATCCGTATTGTTATCCTCTAGGAGTAGTGGCATGTGTGCAGCTGCTAAGCAGCTGAAGCAAATGACAATCGGTACTGTGAATTATTCAGTAGGCTACTCCCGTGCCGCCAAGCTCTCTGAGCTCTTAGTTTCGAGCTGCTGCACTGCGGCCAGCGATGACTTAATCACAGGCTGCGATATCACACGCCACAAGTTGCAGTTTATGACTTTTGTACCACGATCAAGACTGCGGTTTATGACTGTTGTGCCACGAGCAAAATGATAGTACGGTGTGCACTGGTCGACGGGGTTCAGGACTGAAGGAAAAAGATCCACGCGTTTGAGGGAATGAAGAACGGAACTAAGTAGACCCAGGTAGTCAATGACTACAGCTACTTTACTGCGAGTTGGGTGGATTTCTTATGTGGCAGATTCCGTGGCATGTGCCGAAAATGATTCACAGTATTCAGTGTCAGACTGTCTTCTCTGGGATTTCAAGCCAATCGGGTACACGTGTACCTGGCATAACCCTTGCAACTGGGTCAGAGCAGGGTCCGTTCGAGTGCGGCTACTGCATGTGCATCATGGAGTTGTAAATATTTTTAGGATTCCTGATGTATTATGTATTCCCAACCGGGTCAGCAGTGACCTTTTTCCAAACAGGTCCAAGTACCCCCCCCCCCCCCCCCAACCGGGTCGCTGACCCGGCTCTGGAGCAGACACTGAGTATTGTGTCTTGTTGTCTGCATTTCTGCCTGCGCTCCAGGACACCCGTCTTGCTTGGAGTTGTCGGTGCAGACGGTGCGCATTCTCGGCTCGTACTCCTGGCAGTGCATGGACTGCAAGGTGTGCACACTATGCAGTGATCCAGGAGATGAGGTCAGTCCCGACTGCTAGTGCTCGTTGTAACTTTCGAATTTATCGGTGTGTTTAGCAAACGCACCAGGGCGCACAGAAGCCTGCCCTTTGTGCGGATACACTTCACAGAATTCGTCACATGCGAGTTTGTAAAATGGAGTCGACTGTAAAATGGAGGTCAACTCACTCTGAACATCACACGCTCTTGACCGCCATATTTAGTTATGTTTTACTGACATTATAACAACAACAAACAACAATAGAGCCTACACACATCTTCGACCGAATCCTCAGGCTATAGCTATCCTTGTGTGAGAAATTTCCATCTCAAACTTGAGTCGTATGTTTGTTCTTGATACTCAGGAGAAGATGATGTTTTGTGACGACTGCGATCGCGGCTACCACACGTTCTGCGTTGGCCTTCAAGATATTCCTACAGGTAAGTCTGCGTGTGTGTATGTGTACGTGCGTGTGTGTGTGTGTGAGTGTGGGTGTACGTATGTGTGTATGTGCGTGTGCTCTTGTGTGTACATATGCGTGTTTGCGTGTGCTTGTGCTGGTGTATACATGTACATGATTGTACTGTAACGTGGCTTTGGTTTGCCCTCCTGTCGCCTTTATGCCTGTGATGCGACTTTCGTGTATACACTGAAGCACTGTGTTCGTTTCAGGTATTCCTGTGGACGGAGCTATGCACAATCCAGCAGTGTACAGTCTGACTTCACCGTTTCGTTGTTTTATAGTATAATGTGTGCACATGCGTGGCAAGACTTTTGAAGTGTCTTTGGTTTGTGGAAATGATGCCGGCTGTGATAAATTGGAGTTACTAGTTGCGATCACAGCATGCAAATATGTTCTTTGTGTGCCTGTGTGTGTGTGTGTGTCTGTGTGTGTGTGTGTCTGTGTGTGTGTGTGTGTGTATACGTGTGTGTCAGCTAGTTCGGCTGGTAGGTACACTTATGCCTGATTGTGTTGGGTCTGTTGCCAACAGGCTCGGCTGCTTGAAGGTGTAATGTTGTACCTGCCACCTTTGTTGGTTCCAGGGTTCATATACTTTCTATTTGAAGTATACATACCTGTTAACCATGGACTGCTTATGGCTAGATTAACTCTTGTGTAATCAATGGTGCTAGTGAAGCTTTTATCAGATCTACTCTGATTTAGCCACTCACACTAGTAGCAAATATTACCTTCACTGGGGGCAGGGGTAACTGCAGTTGGATCCCGGGACGGATACCTGATGCCGTCAATCCTTTTTCTGCACCTTGTCCTCACCCACTTACTGAGGTGTGGTGAGCCCATAAGTGGGATCATTTTCAAGTCCACCCAGAGTTTTGGGGATTTCAGGGGGTGTCGGCCGTTGGGCGGTTCAATAACCAATTGAGTCATCTTTCTAAGATTCCTTTTGAGTCTCTCTCCCCTCTCCCGGGGGGACTCACGTGACCAGTTTTGGCAGTGAGCAACAAGTACAAGTACAGTACGTGTGTGTGTGTGTGTGTGTACGTGTGTGTGTGTACGTGTGTGCGCGTGTATGTGTGTGTATGCAGGCCAGTGGATGTGCAAGAGCTGCAGTTCCTGCTCATCTTGCCAGAAGCACGAAAAGGATTTCCGCCGTGGCAATCCCTGTACTCACCAGGTCAGTAACACAGTGGCTGTGCATGCACAAACATTGCTCAGAAAGTACCGGTGACAAGCCTGGCCATGGCATGTACAACTTGGGTGTTATTCTATCCATTCGATTCCCGAGTGATTTTCATTGTGCCTTGAAGTAGCTGTGTCAAAGCTTCTTGACTTAGGTATCGTTGGTGGCGGCCTATTGTGAGCATGTTGGACAATAGTGTACCATCCGGGGGGGGGGGGGGGGATCCGTTTTTGTTTGTGCTGATTTTTGGTGTTCTGTTGTTCATCTTTCTCAGTTCACCATACCAAGAGATGGCAGCGAGCCCAAATATGTCACAACGCTGTGTTCATTTTGTTCGAGGTTCGTGCTTCTCCCTCTGTGTGTGTGTGTGTGTGTGTGTGTGCGTGTGCGTGTAGGTGTGTGTGTGTGTGTGCGTGTGTGTCTGTGTGTCTGTGTGCGTGTGTGTGTGTGTGTGTGTGCGTGTGTGTGTGTGTCTGTGTGTGTGTGTGTGTGTGTGTGTGTGTGTGTGTGCGTGTGTGTGCGCGCGTGTGTGTGTGTGTAGGTGTGTGTGTGTGCACGCGCATGTGTGTGTGCACGCGCATGTGTGTGTGCACGCGCATGTGTGTGTATGTATGTATGTAGTTGTGTCCTTGATAAGAGACAATCTGTTCGTACACATTCGAACAATAGTAAGAGGACAGAGAAAGTGTTTTAGCTCTGAGTTTCACGCACTAAGCGATCATCAGAAAATAGCAATGAGTAACTCTGGATCAGTACTGGTTTTTTATACCCACAACACAAAAGTGTCAGCGACAGCAGTCGTGAAAGATTCCATCATGGCATAAATTATACATTCAGAACATTTGCTGATTGTGTGCGTCTCTTTCCACGGTTTTACAATTAGGCATGACGTGCTTGTGTTTGTGCTTTTTTGCTTGGCCGCCATTGCTGTGCAGGCTGTTTCAGAAAGGCCACTTCTGCCCGGTGTGTCTGCTGGTGTATCACAATGACGAAACCGACCAGCCAATGGTGTGTTGTGATGACTGTGACCGATGGATTCACACAGGTCAGTAGAGCGTACCACTGCATGTAGTAACTATCACACACGTGCTGGTGCTGAAAGGTGTTTTGTTGAACGCACAAACCAATGATGATATGAGTGCAAAGAGAGCAAAGAATTCAACTAGCACTGGTGCTAGTGTTGCAGTAGTGGCCAATCCTACTCAGTCCACGACTCAGCCCATGACTGCAGCACAACACTGGCACGGCAGCCCCTCGGCTAGAATTCCTATCACTGCTATCTTCATGAGGCTGTATCTGAAGAGTTGAGATGCAAAACCCGCTAAGCCAACCTTAAGAAAATCAGATTTTCAGCTCAGTGTCAAGGGCAGCACCAGGCAAAATTTCACATTCAAACTCTGAATAGAACCATTTCAAAACTAGATCCCAAATATGGATTTAATTTAGACACAAAACATACATAAATTATTAAAAATGAAATCTTCTTGGCCATTATCAGGAAAGTGATGAAATGGAATTAGCGGATTTTGCGTTCCAGCTCTTCATTCTCAGTTTGTGCTCCATGTGAAAGTGTGAGCTGCCTGACCATGGACTCATCTACTGGCTGTTCACCAAATGAAAGCCTGGTCTACTGGGCTATTCAAGTCAGGTCCACTCATCCCAAGCTCTGCATGCTCGGAGCCTGTCACTTGGGGTTGCTGGATATCTGGGCAGCTCAGAAATCCGGCAGTGATGTCACGGGGCTGCTTGACCTAGCCTGCAATAAAGTCATGTGGTCCGTTATGCTGTTAGTGTTGTCTGCTTCGCAATTTAGCCATATCTGAATAGGGTCAAACCATGTGTCCCTGGTATAGTGTTTGCTCCTATCCCCCCCCCCCCCCCCCCCCACACACACACACAGAGCAATCTTTGGGTTTCTATCGAAACCAGGAAAGGGTTTTCTTGAGATCGGGTTTCGGAAAATGTCTGAAAAATTGGGTGATGTGGCCGCACTGGAACCTCCATACCACCAGATTGTGGTGCTGGCAATACTAACTCTGAAAATAGCTTTGTGCGCGGGTACCTACACCCCGGTGAATATAATTACAGTCGACCTGCCCTTATAATGATATTTGCGTAACACCAAGACATATTGTAATAAGGGTAATATTGTTATAGGGGTAACTGGTTCATTTCATACACATACGTCATAATGCATGGATTTCATTCATTTTTTACACTCTTCAAAGCATAAAACATGACATACATGCACATTCTGTGCACAGCAACTGCAAGGTGCCCACTGGTGCCCCATTGCATTTCGTCCTGTCCCAGCGACTTATCAAGTGAAGCTTGCCCTCCCGGGATAGTGGGCTCTACATATTCCCTGCTAGATATTGTTAGAAAATGGAAAATGTCGATTGGTCAGCCCATTTTGTATCGTTATAGGGGTAATATCGTTATAGCAATATTGTTATAGAGGTAAGGCATTGTATGCAGTCAATGGAGTGATTTGGTTTTGCAGAAAAATATTGTTATAAGGGTAATATGATACTAATATCGTTATAGAGGTTATCGTTATAAGGGTAGGTCGACTGTAGTACATAAGCCTGATTTGATCTATCCTCCCCCACCGTTTAGGAGCCGCATACGACACCTCATCATGGGGTGATGGCGTTCCACGGAAGCGGAAAGGTGGTTCTTGACCCGCCCTGTACGCGAACCCGTGCATTTTTTAATTTTTTTAATTTTTTATTTGCGTTCTTGTGTCGTATTGCACCCATACACACAGCCTGCGACAACATCAGCGATGCACTGTACTCGACGCTATCCAAGGAACAGAGCACCTACAAGTGCGTCATCTGTCGCGGTGCCCGTGCCGAGCGTATGGATGCGCACCACAAGAAGTACCGTTCCCAGCTGCCGATGCGCGGGAGGGTGTAGAAGCGATTGCTTGAATACATCCTCTTCGCAGTAGTATGGTCTGTAACGTCATTGATTTGCATCACAAGCACGTGTTTGGCACTCAGCCCTGCGGTGATGTCATTCCTATCAACAATGACATCATGGTCACAGGCACTCATTGGCAGTGCACAGGACACATGATGGTTACTAGTACATGCGTGTTGATGTTGTTCCAGCCAACAGTGACGTTATGGTCACAGTCACTGCAGTGCTTTGCCGCCGAGCGCACACAGTGGTGATACGCGATGATGTCATTCCCGCCAGCAGCGACATCGTGGTCACAGGCACTGCAGTGCTTTGCCGAGCGCACGCAGTGCAGTGGTGATACGCGATGATGTCATTCCAGCCCGCAGCGACATCATGGGTCACAGGCACTGCTTTGCCAGGCAGGCAGTCAGGGCAAAGCACACAATCATGGTGGTGGCATGTGAACATCCTTTATAGGATCATATCAGGTAACACTGGGGCATGCTGTGAATTAATTTGCTAATCTGAGAAATTGTGAGTGAGAATAGCAAAACTGTAGAACAAAGTTTTTCTTGGTGTAACTCTAATTTCGGTTGAGAAACCAGGCACTTTTAAGTTTTAAATTTAGACTACGTGACAGGAGGTACTTGTTACCTACTTTGAGGAAGTACTTGTAATTCCAAGCTACACGTGAAAACTGTTAGGTGTTTGACGCCACAATTTCAGCTCACCTAAATAACGTATAACACAGTATTAGCAAGAGTCCATAACCCACAGAGTGTGCAATGTCACACAAATCTCTGTCACGACTCGTTTTCAACATTACGTCATTTTCATGTAGCTGCGCGTGCAGGCCGCGACATATTCGCTACATGAAAATGACGTAATGTTGAAAACGAGTGGTGACAAGACCCTATCGCGCATTGCACACTCTGGGGGTTAACGGGGTTATTGACTCTTGGTATTAGTATGTTCAAGATTCCTGGTCTACTACAGCAGTATCTACATGTACCTCCTGCTGTCAGATGTTTGTCATTTTGCTTACTTATTGCTTGGTTTGTGTTCGGCCTATTTGGCGTGGCTGAGAACACAGTCAGTCGTCCAAGCTACCAGTGTCATCTATCCTATCTTGTTTTCTACTTAGTACTTTGGTTGCACTTGATCAGCTCTCTTATACCCTCATGTGGCTAGCTTTCTTTCTTTTGAAGCAGGTTCTGCTGTCCTAAGCTACAATGGACTGCATGTACATGTATTGACTTTTCCCGTTGACTGTGTTGCGTGTGGCCTTCCTGTGTTTCCTTCCTGTTCTCACATTTTGTTGAGCTTGAATAAAGATATTGTGTCAAGTATAATGTACATGTAGCTTGATCCAGGGTGCCATAAAATTTACGCATACTCTCCCTGTACGTCATCATGTATGTCATATTTCTCATGTACATGTACACCTGGTGACCAAAAACCAACCACCGATAATTTGGTTGGCCAGGCCCAGGGGCCATCGTTTATAAATAGGATTTATCTATTTTTTTTTTTTTACTAAGGCCACAGCTTCCAATCATGACGTGCAAATATTCCGATTGTGTGGGCCATCAGTGCATCACCCCGGAGGTTTACCAGCGCACTCCATGTCAGCCAGTGCCCCTCTCTTGACAAGGACATACTCAGTACATGTACTGACTGTAGTGTCTCGTATAGAAGCCTGAAGGAATACATTGTACTAGTATTTTACTAGTAACCATCCATGCATGGCTTTTATAGTAATGTGACATTACCTCAGAATACGGCACTCAATTTAATCTTTTGTGGTAGAGGTCTTATCAGATCAGCGGGTTGTGGTGTGGGATGTACCGGCTTACTCCTTTGTTGGATTGAATGTTGAGCAGAGACAGAACCGTGTAATAATGTCCGGGTGATTGGTATAGTCAATATGCGTGTTGGATTGAGTGACACAATACCCTAAGCTTTATTCAAGCTCAACAAAATGTGAGAACAGGAGGAACGCAACTACACATGTAAAGTAAAAGTAAATTATCGTGTCCGTTCCCGAAGGGAACTCACGACGGCCGCTAACACCCGATAAACCCTAGCGGCAGATGCAGCACCTAACGGTGGGGGTGAGTGGATAAGTCTCACAACCACTGGCACAAGTGCCGAGAACGACCCCATTAGCTGCATCCATGTGCCTCCTTTGTTCCGGCGGTCATGTCAGCCAGTGCCTGGCGGAATGGGTCCAGCATCAACAGCACTGTACAAACGAATTGCTCATCTGTTGGCGGAGAAGAGGGGTGAGCATTACTCTCATGTTATGGCATTTGTTAGATGCAGGATTTCCTTCAGCCTTCTGAAATCCTGTATCATGTGCATTCGCGGTTGTAGGCGTTTAAATTTTGGTTTGAAATTTGCACCCTCCTGCGGAGCCCACGCTGCTTTGGCAGTGGCGGAGGCTCGCTTGCCGACGTAACCGTCGGAGATCATCATGAACAATGGACTGACTAATTACCGTACTGGCAATATATGTTGCCGCGTAACGCGTAACGCAGGGGGTGCGGCGTAACGCGCGACCAGGCTAGTGCGACACATTTTCGTTGAGTTCGTAACGCGCGTCCGGCGGGGTGCGGCGATCTTTTCATTGCAGTTTGCACTGCACAAGAAAAAATGATGCGGCAAAAGCAAAAAAATGATGCGGCAATAGCAAAAAAGTGATGCGGCAATAGCAAAAAAAGGACTGCGGCAATATAGAAACCTGTGTAACGGCTCCTTTGCGACTTTGCATGTAACGCCCTGCGTGCGGCAAACATGTGCCAATGTAACGCTTCATGGCCTTACTGCGGCAACATATATTGCCAGTACGGTATTCACTTGTCCTGTCTTTATAAATAACATGTTATTGCATAAAAAAAAATAAAAAAAAATAAAAAAAAAATAAACCCTTGTGCCTGGCCACAAGTTCCCAGTTGACTGCATGTACTTCGAAGTATTATTTTAGCTTTTCTGAACGTTGGTAGCTAGCTTGCAAAGTTGCATGGCCAAGGTCTGATCACACCGACCCTGGACAACCCTGCACTGGCTGCAGTGCTTCACTGTCTTCTTCAGCTGTCAGCGTCAGACCATGGCATACACCAATGCCACCGGATGACCATTGACGAATGTCTGTGGGCGTTAGGTGGTGGGAGTGACCTGAAACTAATTACTGACTTTGTGATTTTGTCTATAAGTAACTGTAAGAAAGGGTTTGCTCCCCACACCGGAGCTCGCGCTCTAAGTAACTGTAGTAGATCTACATAATCATTCAATGATTGTACAGTCCAGGGAGTAGTAGACGAGTCTACGTGTAGTTACTACTCCCTGGACAGTGGTACAGTTCTTGTCCTGGGCGCGTGTCGCCATCTTCACCGCAATCACATAACGTATTGTACATAATTCATGCAGTTGATCTTGACCCCCCGGGCAGCGGGGAGCATTGGTTTGTAATACATGCAGTGCATTTTAGTGCACCAACGCCTTGAGTCAACGCTAATGCTTCGAACTGAATCGAAGTTACAGTACTTGTACTTTTTAGTTATGGAAGAGCCAACACCTCGACTCTAAAGAGTGGGTCATCGCATGCGGCAGTGAAATGTAAAAGCGCCACAACAGCTAGCGCATGCTTGCTGGCTTGGGACAGAACTACGGTACTTCAGAAGTGCATGCCTGTAGCTTTGTCTTGTAAATGTAAGTAACGTTGTAAGTAAGTAAAGTTTGCACGTTCGCGTTACCACCGGCTATACAATAATGAGTTGCGTTGAGAAAGTACAACCAGCTTAGGAAGTTTCGCATGTGCCAGGCCACTACCAATACCATGCCTGTGATACCAGGGTGGCAGATGCAGCGCCTAACGGCGAGGGTGAGGTGGTAAGTCTCACAACCAGGGAGTCGTAAAAGCCCGGGAGAGGACACGGCACACATTCCCAGAAAACATCTTTGCCTCGCGCTGCCGGGGAACGCTGCCAGGGAACGGTGTTGCGAGGCAAGGAAATTATTATTTTCGAAAATTGTGATGTCTTCTTGAAATACTAATTGGGACATTCTCCGATTTCTCTTAGAGCACGGAGACGATTGCTCCGTCGAGTCTTCTGATCTCTATTTTCATCCTCAATTCTTCCAGCTGCCTCACTCATTCTCTCTCAGTTTATCGAAGTTAATTTATTCTGAGGCGATATGAAAATGCAAGATAAATCCCAGTACTTCAATTTTATTAAGTTGGGGTGAACAAAATGAGATTTGTGGAAAATGACGCCATTTCCCGTGTTAGCCGCTGGTCGTATCATACAGCCCATATTCCATTGCAGGTGATGGGTGAACGTTCGTGTTGAGATCCGCTGAGCTTCCTCGTACTCGTGGAGTTGAATTTGTGGCAGAAATTGCACTGAATTGCAGTCAAATGGTTGTGAATGAAACGAGATTTGTGGAAAATGACGCCACTTCCCGTGTTAGCCGCTGGTCGTATCATACAGCCCATATTCCATTGCTGGTGATGGGCGAACGTTCGTGTTGAGACCCGCTGAGCTTCCTCGTACTCGTGGAGTTGAATTTGTGGCAGAAATTGCACTGAATTGCAGTCAAATGGTTGTGAATGAAACGAGATTTGTGGAAAATGACGCCACTTCCCGTGTTAGCCGCTGGTCGTATCATACAGCCCATATTCCATTGCAGTTGATGGGCGAAAGTTCTTGTGGAGATCCGCTGAGCTTCCTCGTACTCGTGGAGTTCAATTTGTGGCAGAAATTGCAGTCGAGTGGACTTCTGTGCGTGTGTTGTGAGTGAATCGCAACGGCTCCCTTCCTTCAGCATCGTCAAAACGCAACATAGAGCATTATTACGCACTCGTTCCATGATTCATGATATTGCCTGGATTCTTTTAAAAACAATCAATATGTGTTCCCTATCTATCTACATTGTACATGGTTGCAGGTCGTTATTTATAAATCTTGATAATTTCAACACTTTTCTACTCGTATACTGAGTATGCGGTGACTTTAGCCGTTTAGGAAACGGAAGGCTCAGCTTCCAGGTTGGCTAGAAAGGTTCTCAGTGAATCTAACCGAAGTCTTGGCGAGTGTACAAAAGGTAAACCTATCATTTGTACTTCATGACGGAATTGTGCACAAAAATGCGCACGCACGCACGCACGCACACACACAAACACTGTACAAACACACACAAAAGTACAAGCACATGTGCACATACACACGCCCCCCCCCCCCACACACACACTCAACTCCCCACCCCCTGTACCATGTGTACTGAGTCTGACAGACAGACACACAATCATGTTTACTGTTTATCATGGCTTCCTTCGCCACAGTGCCCTGAAGGCACGATGATCGATCTCATATTGACCAACCCGGCGCTAGTGTCCCTAGCAACGGTTGTGCCCACTGATATTAGTGACCACAGCGCTGTGGAAGCCTTTATTCAGCTTGCCGTTGACGTTCCACCCGCGTCATCCACGACGTCGCGGCTGACCAGGAATATACGTGGCGTTGACATTAACTCTTTTCGGCAAGATATCCTTGAGGCTTCTCTACATGATTTTTCGGATCACAATGATGTAAATCACATGTGGAAAGAGTGGCACACTAAGTTCCTGTACGTTTTGGACAAGCATGCCCCGCTGCACAACTCTAAGCCTTCCCGGAGGGCGATACCTCCCTGGTCTGACAGAGAGCTGCACCAGCTCGAACAGCGTAAACGGCGGCTGCACAGCCGTTGGCGGAAGGATAGGACAAACGGCACACTGTATGCAGAGTTTAAACAAGCACGTAGCACTGCTCGGAACGCGTATCGGCGCAAGCGAAACGAGTACTTCTCCCGTCAGTGCGAAGAAAATGTGGCCAACCCTAGGAAGTCTTGGGCCATTCTAAATGCAGTCACTGGGCGTTCACGTCGCCGCCAAGATCCTAGTTGTAGCATCAGCGAGGTGGCCGACACGTTCCACTCCATTGTCACCGATCCCAACCGTCCTGAACAACTCTGTACCCCGCACGGTCCCGCTGGACCCGTCTCCTTGACCGAACTTGATCCTGTGACTCCTGCTGACGTCCGACGTCTCCTTGAGAAGTTGGATGCGCGGAAAGCCACAGGTAGTGACGGCATACCGGGCTCTCTGCTACAGCAGTGTGCTGACTTGCTTTCATATTCTCTTGCTGTGCTGTTCTGCACCTCGCTGAGGACTGGAACCATTCCATCCGCATTTAAATTGGCGTCTGTCGTGCCACTGTACAAGGCCGGTGACCCATCAGTCCCCACCAACTATAGGCCTGTATCCCTTCTCCCAATAGTGTCCAAGTTGCTGGAGAGGGTAGTGCAACACCAGTTAGTTCGTCATTTGGACTTGACCCAGGCATTACCCGAAACACAATTTGCCTTCCGCAAGAAATGTTCCACGGAAGACGCCCTCTGTGTGC